AAATTTTCACGTTACCTCTGAAAATTTCAAGGAACAAAAAATTCTTCAAACCAGCTCGCTTTTCCTTCAATTTACATAATGTGGTTATCACTCCATCACATTAAATCTGGCGTTACAGTATGTTCCATATTACTATTTTAATTTTACCATATTGCCGTAAAAACCTTACACAATGCTTAATAATTTCGTAGAATCCATAAATTCTGTAAACTTATATACAAACTTATAAACTTTCACAAATATTTTTAAGCAAAATTAGCTCACAAATTTTTATAAGTTGAGTAACTCAGACCAAGGGCGTTCCTGTATTTTGTAGAAGTTTGTAAAATTATTTTACAAAACTTGGAATTTTATGAATTACAAATGCTCATGTTGTCATCAGTCATCACTGTCCTTATTAAAATTAATTCATGGTCTTTGGTTACTGTATTTGATTCATTATTATTTGAATTTTACGACATTGACGTAAAATCGGACGACTTAATTGAAGAATTTTTCTCATCCAGACATTTAAAAAAATGTTTCAGTTAAAGCTTTAACTTTTTGATGAATTAATTCATCCAAATAAACGGATTTGATCAGTCAAAGAATAATTTACGTTTTGACCGGTGTCGTCCAATATATCGAAATAATTGCCACAGATTTTTGAAAATGGAAACACACACGATATAAATAAACGTGTCAAATAAATCATTAAATTGTATATTTTTTAGAATTGGCTGGAAATTTGGCTTCATGGAAAAATAAAATTTTTCCTTAAAAATTGACAAAATCAATTACATGTATCAAAATAAACTGTTGTGTTGGTAATCATTTTTATTTTAAATTGAGTGATAGTTTAGTTTGTCTAAATTGTCTAAATTCTCTAAAAGTCAAATTAAAAAGTGTAGTCTAAGGAAGTCTATATTCTCTTTACATATGGTTAGAATATTTCATGGATCCAAAAAATCTGTTTTGTTATAAAAGTAAAAAAATATGATAAACGCCAAAATTTAGTAATCTTATTTCTCCAAAATAATTTGGCGAAATGTACATGATTAAAAGGTTCTGCATAAGATAACTTCTGCAAACTTCAATTTTGCAGATTTTCAAACTATAATTTTCATTATTTAACCTAATTTACGTGAAATTAAACACTTTACTAAAAATTCCAAGTTTATTATTTTGCTCAAGTGTATTTTTTCTCATGGATCGATCCTTCCCTGTTCAGTCAGAAATTTACAACTGGTTTTATACCGTTACGCGTGGTCGGCGAAGGGGATGCATCAGCTTTCCCCTCGAAAAACCCACAGTTTTCCTGCTTTCTCCGTCAGTCACTCTTTGCCCGCTGGATGAGAAGGACAGGCTCGCTTTCTCTTCACAAAACCGGAAGAAAGGAACTTTTAGGGAGAAATTGTTATACGCAGAAGTGTCCTGCCGACAAATTGTTCGAAAAAAATTGGCAGGCTATAACCTCGAGTTAAATTATAATCAAAATTAGTTAATGAATTCTGTACATTTCATTAAAATGGTGTTAAATTTGAATAAATTCATTTAGAAACGCGGATCAATTTATGTTGCAAAGAATAGTGTCCTAAATTTAAGCCCGAGCGTTTTAAGAACTTTCCAAGAACTTCTTGGTAATGAGTTTGACAGTGAAACTGAAACTTTGAAAGTTTGATGTGGTTCGTATAAAAAATGTGATGTACAATTTGGAGTTGATTGAATTGAAGGTGACACGGGTGAGTTAAATTTGTTTTGATAAATATAAACGCCAAAAAGGTTTTCGCTGTCAATATGGTAGAACATTTAACTATAACTATATTAGATTTAATGCTGTCTTTGCTGGTAGTCGGTCTAGTTAATAAGTCATCAATGATAACCATTAAAGTTTTTAGAGGGCCCACTGTGTTGAAAACTATAAGCTAAATATGTCTGTCCGTCCGTCTGACCGCCTTATAACTTTAGACACAAATGATATTTCAAATTTGTCGTATTCTTTAAAATTTTAGTTCAAATATTAGTATACAAATCGTCCCTTTCATTCAAATAAATTAATTTAGTGACAAACTTTATTTTACGGTTTAAGATTAACTTTTCTGTACATGAATTTAGTTTACTTTCAAATTTAGAATTTGAAGTTTTTGTAGGAATTTTCGTACTTTTGAGTTTTGATCCCAGGTTTAAAAATTCGTAAGACATTTAGATAGCAATTTGTGCTTCGGACGAATCCTGCGCGTCTTCTGCTTAGGGCTTTTTGGTCTCGAGGGAAATTGTTTGTGTGGGACTTTCCATGAGGGATTAATAGTCCACTTGATCAACGTTCTCCTCAAGATTTTAGAAGGACTACTTTATTTCGGGATTATTTATTCCTTTTGTATTTATCCTGTGAATGGTTTGGAGAAAAAGGGTTGAAAATATAGAGAAAAACATATGTAAGTGTTAAATGCTACAGTAAAATAGAAATTTTTAGAAATTATTTTCCCAGAAAGTTTTCACAAATCTTGCGCGAAAGTTTGATACAAAAATTATTGTGTTTTATTCTGAAGTAATTTTGGGGAAATTTCGAAGGAAAATGAAGCATTTTGATATTTTTAAATACCGCACTTCTAAGAAGTTGGGAACTACATCGTTCACCGCGTGCGGTCAGTTAGGCAATTCACAGTAACTTTATAAATCGGGTAGATTTTGTAAAATAATTCTGACTTTCACAAAAATTATGCCCTTGATCTGAGTAAGTTACAAACATTTGTTACCAATTTTGCTTCGAAATATGTGTAAAATTTCAAAAAGATTTTGTAACTTTACGAATTTTATAAAGTTACCAAGGACAGCGTGAATTGCCTAATGCGAGACTTTATCACGCTGATAAAAATGTAACCCAAATTTCAAGGAGCTTAAAAATGTATCCCGTTTTAATCAAGTGTATATATATAAGCAAACTGTGTCAAATTTGAGACACTCGAAATTTTTTTTACCGTTCGGTAATAAATTTTTACCAGTTGCCAGTGTTGTACTGACTACACATGTTCACGATTTTGAACTTTTTTAGTGTAAATGTTCTACTTTTTACATTGTCCCACTTTCGTTATAATTTGTATTTTCTCATTTAAACCAAGTTCAGCCAAGAGAGGAGGAGGGCGAGAGTGAAAGTTGTAATTGCGTAGGCGTGTAGAATTCTGGACCCCAGATTCGAGGAGAAAGTAGGATTTTGACGGATGAGAGATTTTTTGAGCTCGTGGAGGAAGAAAGAGGAATTAATTTTGTTTCTTCGTCTGCTGCTGCAAATCCGAAATCCTGCTGGTACACAGTTCGTTTCGTGGCCATCAGTTCACTCAGCGGCTGTTCTGTTGTTGCACTTATTTTAGCGTCGGATTTCGAAAGTCGGGGGAGAATTATCTTGTCCTCGTCTTATCTGCGAGACTTACTCCGAGCCTATTTTCTTAAGAGAAAGTTAAAGCATTCCTGAATCCAGAAGTTCAAATGCTGGTTTGTTTATGGGCGATCGATTTATGGCTGAACCCCTCAAAAAATACATTTTTTTATATTTAAATACACGCATAAATGTCTTTAATTTCTTAAATAAATTTCTTACATAAATTTCTTAGCATTTTTTATAGTGGATTTTTACTAGTCAAATTTTGCTTTTAAATAATTAGATTACAGATAAATTCGCAATGGAATTTGAATCCGATTTTGAGATTTTGTAAAAACTGCTAAAAAAACCCGATGGTAAAAACCTTTGCTGAAATTATGGTCTGAATTTGGACCAAAAACAGTTAGAGGATTCAACATGGTTACATAATTTTTTAAGCTAACATGTAGTAAATCTTTACCTGTTCAAATCTGTAGAAATGGTGTTTTTTAAGAGAGACTTAAAATCAGCTTAATAGAATAAGCTGATTTACTCTAAGAGATTTGATCCTCTTACGTAATTCCTAATTCGTGAGCTATTAACTAACACTCCACGTGACGAGGGACTAATTTCGTTGGGATTAAGTACCCAAAATTTAAAAAATTGTGGGTGGAGAATTTGAGAAGAAATGCATTACGAAATGTGGCGATTTGCCGGTTTGATAAGATTTATAACGAATCCAGTTGTGTCACCGTCATTTGTAATATTTCTTAACATATTAAACTAGAAATATAGATTTCTGAGTCGTAATTGACGAGGAAATTAAATTAAATTGCTCAATTTAAACTCCACACAGAAAAATTGTTGTTAGTTCTTTTCATCAATTTTAACAAACAAGGTACGGTACGCATTCCAGACAAGAAAAGTGCCAAGTACAGAAGTTAAAAAATAGTATTGTAGTTAAATTGTAAATATTGTAGTAAAAATTGTAGTTACAAAATTAGAATGGAGACAATTTCTCCACAATGTCTCTGAAAAACCGGGCAAGAATGAAATAGTTGTTTTATTAATGAACCTGATTCCTGCTCAAGAAAATTATGTTGAATTTCTCGCTTTATTTTGCATCGAACCATATTTTTCACTGATAGGTAATAATTTTGATTTCGAATTGAAAGATGGTTTCGCAAAATTAGAAGCCAATTTTCGTTATTTTTGTCGTCCTGATTAATGCCATAAAATATTCAGATAAGAAAAATTGTAGTTTCTGTCAAAAAAATTTTGTTAACAGTAGATTGAAATTCACCGGTAATTTTTATTTGAACAAATACAAATATGAAAAATTTAGCCAGGAATTTCGCAAATCTTTTACTAAATATTTTTTGGTAGAATACATTTTACATAGTTTTTAGTTAACTGTAAATAAAGTTGAGTAAAATTGCCACCACCGCAACTATTGAGTAAAATTTACCCTGGCAAAGGTAAAATTTACTCAAGGTTGAGCAAAAATCTTTCAACCTTGAGTAAATTTTATCTTTGCCAGGGTAAATTTTACTCAATAGTTGCTTTGGTGGCAATTTTACTCAAAATTGAGTAAATTTTAATCGAATTTCTCGTGCAATTTTAAATGAGGTGATTATTAATTAACGATTCCGATTATTTATCACAGGTTTTCTGGAGTTTGTCACCACCAAAATTTAGAACTTTCACCCAACAATCTACCGGAAGTTACGCTCTCGGATTTCGTAACGTCGTGACCGTCACGAATGGAATGTGAGAAACGAACGTGAATCAGAAACCTGGAATCATTTGGGACTTTGTCTTTTGGAGAATAAATGAATATTGATGAGTTTTTGGGGTGAAAACAGTGCACGTGTTTAAAACAAGCAAAGATATTCTAGTGCGAACTGAAGTGTTGGGTGTGGAGAAAGTTTTTGTAACTTTGAACGACGAGTATGGCCTAATTTTTCTGGACAAATTATGATGGAAACGCGACTCGGAAATATGTAAGAAATTAATTTTGTTATATTTTTATGATGCAAAATTTTATTTTATGGAAAATATTTTTAAAAACTTTGTTACAAATTGAATGTAGAAAATCTTTCTACTTTCTCTTTTTGGTGTACAATCGGGATCATTATAAAAAAATAATTTGGTAACAAAATCGTCACCAAGTGTAGTGACTACAAAGCAGATAATGATTTGCCACCGAATGGTAACTATGATTTCCGGGAAACTCAAATTTGCCACCTTTCAAAATATTAATTTTCAAAATTTTCCAGTGAGAAATTGATTAAAACATGGCAAAAATTTCGAATCCCTGTGAAATTATTATTTCTCACCGCGTTTACCAGACTGGTGATGCTTATCCACCGAATGGAAACAAAGATTTCTGAACAACTCCAATTTGACGCTAATAAGAAATTAGTTAAACTGTGGTATTGATTTTTAATCTCTGGAAAATTATTGTTACCACCATCTCGAAATCTTTACCAACGTGGTAAAGTATAATTACTACACACCCGGTAACGATTTTATTACCGACTTATTTCAAGCGTATTTTCGTAATCAGTTAAGAATTTCGTGTGGTGAAAATACACAGCGTCGCAACAATCTTGTTTACCACTTTCCTGCGAGTGAATTTACTCAAGTGAGTAAGGCAGAGGACGCATTAATCATGGCAGATTTACCAAGGACACTGACTCGGGCTATTTATCATTATTACGTAAATGGTCACATCCACTCAATTTTGTCAGCTTTCATCAACTCGGAGAAATCCTGGGAAAATAAATCCAGCCGGAAATGAGACAAGATATTCAGCAGAATATAATGCGTCCTCCGGAGTGAAATGAGAGATGATTTAGTGAATATTTAAATAGATACGCATTTTACTCATCAATTTTACCAGCCGTATATTTTGAAATTGTGTAGTTGAGGTGGTTAATTTTTAAATTTCTGTGATGCATAGAATTATGTATATAATTTCAACACCGAATGCTAAATTTATTGTATTTCTAAATAAGAGTCAGATATGTGCACAGGTCAGGTAGTCTTGATAAATAATTGCAAAATGCAAGAAATCGAGTCAACTTTTGTTATTGTCACAAAATTGTAAATTCGTAATCACATCAGTGTGAAAACCATCTCACAAAAAAATAGTTATTTGCTATATGTTAGTTATTTACAAAAAATAGTTATTTGGATTTTATCGTTCAATTGTTCAATTATTTTTGTTAATTATGTACAAATTGTAATTTTCAATTTCGTTTTGGGTATCATGATTGTCATACAAATGCAGAACAGTTTTATTCAAAGTGTTATCTTACAATGGACGTATCCCAGCGTATGCTCAGATTTTGGCGAAATTAGTGCCAATCGATTGCAAATTTAATTCATATGAAATTTGCAAAAATCTCCCAATGGTCAAGTTTTGCCGAGGAATTTTCATCCGAAAAGGAGAAAACGCGCAGTAAATTTGGAAAGTGCAAATATCTCTGCCAAATCTGAGGATTGCCATACGCCATAATTGAAAGTAAAGTAAATTGATAACCTAAAAATTTGAGTTAGGTGATTTCGTTGCGAGTTGATTTTGTTCTTGTCTTAACTTAATTCAAAATGAGACAATGAGCATAACCGTTAATTTGGGCCGGAAGGAATTTACCTCGAATAAGAAGAAATGTTTTTCTCCGAATAATAACAATTCCGGAAGTGCTGAGAAGACGGAAATGTGGAGAAAGTTGGCCAAAAGTCTTAATTTAACTTTTGAGCTTCAGTACAACACTTGACTTATTGTGAAGTTGGACTTACTTTTGCGACAATAGTTCTCGTCCCTCGTCGTCCTCATTAAAGGTCCGGCACCCAGCTTAAGTTTGGGTTAGGCTTAAGTCAGGGATCGTTATATGGGACGTCAAGTTTTGTGAAAGCGTCATTGTCAACTTTATATTGTGCAGATTCTAAGAACTTAAGAAATAGTGAAAGTAAATAGGAAACAAAATCGCGTAGAATTGTGCCGATTTTGTTACAATTTGCTTGTCTATCTAGCTACATTAAAAATATTGTGGTGACAAATTCTACTGCATTGGTAATTGTATATACAGGGTGTTAATAAAGTCCGATCCCATTTTTCCTGTAAAAAAGTGAAGGCTAGTATAAAAAAAAACTACCCGTGATACTTACAAAAAATGTTCGACATATTTACCTTAGTATTTGGTCTTGTTACCATTTACTTTAACCATGCCCTCAACTCTTTGTTTAAGGCTCTGTGCTAATTTTTCCAATGTGCCTCTGGAAATCGAATTCCATACATCTTGAACTTTTTTTTACTAGCTCTTCCCTCGTCCGGGGTTGTGGCTCTTTGTATACATTTTCCTTAAGTATGGACCACTGGTTCTTCAGGGGATTCAAATCTGGGCCGTTAGCGGCCCACACCCCCTTGCTCCAGACCGTTGAAACTTGCGTCTTGATGAGACTCAAACTCGCTTTTGCTGTATGGGCTATAGCACCATCCTGCATGAAAACTATTTTTCTTTCATTCGGAAATATTTCCTTGTTCCCCATGCTATCGAAATAGATAGGTAATATTTTTTCCATATAATGCTTTGCATTGACTGATTTGCCTTTTGGTATGATATGTAGAGGGGTCACGCAACGTGCACAAAATCCACCCGCTACCATAACTTTAAGCCCGAATTTTGGGATCGCTCTTGATGGTACATCCGATTTGTTTTCTGTCCTGTAACGAACATTTTGTTGGTTCAATTTTGGATATAGTTCAATAATAGATTCGTCAGTCCAAAGGATGTGACTGCGCAATTCTTCACCAAGTCTTTTTTCACTCAAATGGGCACTTTTCTGAAGGAGTTCTTCAAATTTCAGACGGTCATCGATATATTTTTGTGACATGAGAGGTTTTTTTGGTTAGTTTGTAAGCTGTGTGACCCCACTTCGTAGTTTTCACAAATTTTTGCACGGTCACACAGTTAATTTGCTTCTTCTTCTCTTTATAGCGTTTTGAGTCATTTAACTCCCTTGCTCAATTACGTAATGAACTACCGGTTTTCTTGCAAAGTCTGTTTTTAATCATTCTTTTTGTGGTAGGTGACACCTTTCTGGGTCGCCCTGGTCGCTTTTTGTCGTGGACAAAATTTTTATTCTTCCATTTCCAAACAGTTCTGCGGCTGCAGCCCAATTTTTGTACAATTTCTGTAGGTTTAAGCCCCTGCTGATGCAATGTTTGTATCTCAACTCTAAGATGCTCATGACTTACACGTTTAGTTGTTCCTCCCATGGTAAAAATTTGAAATAAATAACTTCACTGGTTCAAAAGTTCCAGCTGAATTTGTAACAACCACGCTCCAAAAAATGCATGGGATCGGACTTTATTAACACCCTTTATACACTGCTAGAAAATCTAGTATAGTCAGGCCGATATTGGTTTCTTGGTATTACATTGTCAACTTTATATTGTGTGGATTCTAAGAACTTAAGAAATAGTGAAAGTAAATAGGAGACAGAAAATCGGGTAAAATTGTCCGCATTTTACCCGAATTTGTTTGTCTACTTAGGTACACTAAAAATATGGTGGTGACAAATTGACACCGCATTGGTAAATACAAAAAATCTAGTATAGTCAGGTAAATAATGGATAACTGGTTTCTCGGTAGTAAAGAGCTACGCTTGGTATTAAAATTATACAGGTCCGGAAAAATTTGATACCGGTATGGTAAACATTTAATACGGAGCTGTTACTATACAGTATCAATTCCAATTCCTTACATGAATACTGCCTGGTATTATTTTAATATTGGATTTCTAAGATTGTATCTCATTGAAACGATGCAATACTTTTGGTCGAGCAAATTTGGTACGGAGAAATTTTTACCGGTGTGGTAGTAAATCCTGAATGCTAGCTAATTCTTACTTTGAGTGTACTAACCTAATCTGTGGTACTAAAAGCAATTAAGAGCAAAAAATTAGGACATTAGAAACCTCAACCGTCTGAATTATTTACAATTAACACTTCCCACAAAGAAGCTTTCCAAAAATTAAAGCGTACAAAATTGTTCCAGATTTTTAAGCACAAATGACAACTTGACAAAGTATTATGCGAATGATATGCTACGAAGTGATAAGAAACGTTGCATAAATAAATTGTTGAAGTCTCCTAAACTATGTGTACAACAAACCATGAAAAAAATAAGAGAGTGATAAAAAGAAATGCAGAATTCTGTACAAACTTTTGATACGACAAAATGAACCCAAAAAGTTTTATTTTTTTAGATAACGCTGTTACTTTATGTTATGTGTTATGCAAAGATAAAGTTCCGAAGGGTGAGGAAAGTGGAAACTTATTTCCTTCTTATGCAGTTTGGTTGAACAAAAGAAAGCATTCTGGACACGATTTGAAAAGACAACTTTTTATTGTATTTTAACTACAAATTTCTGCTCATGAAGGTGAATTTGGACGGATTTTGTCAAAGTTTTTTCAGACCAAGATTTCACGATTGAGTAGTCCATAGTTTTGTAAGTATTGAAAGAAGTTTCCGAAAACTGGGGAAAAAAAGATTCGAATGATTTTTCAATCCAGAACATAATTTGCAAATATTCAAAATAATAATCACGATTTTGCGTGATTATTTTGAAAGATTACGTTTAATGATTAATCTGGAATTTGATAATTTGCTTAATCTTATTCTGTAATTTGACAATTTGATTAATCAGTAATTTGCTACCACCGTTCAAAATCTGAGAGGTTACCTGGCATAGTTTGTTTTGAATTTGAGCCACAGTTTGTTCAGAAAAATATAGAGACCACGGGACAGTTTGTTAACATAACACCCATTCAAAAAAATGAATTCAGAAAAATTATAGATTTTTGTCTCTATTTTTTCAATATTAGATTAATTTTTTTAGTATAATTTTGACAATAATTTCAAGCTTATCAATGAATTTTACAAATACTTAATTTGACAGATAGACTGAAAGACATGACAATTCAATAAAATCT